GACGGTCCAGACCAGACAGCCTTTCGACAGTCAGGGTACTGCGTCTGACTCCTTTTCGGAGAGGCTCCTTCGCAAAACCTATCTCAAGCTGATTGGGGGGCTGAGACCGCGACCTCGGACAAAAGGAATGGGAATCTTGCAAGTTCTGCGCGGTCTGCACACGAGGCCCCGAGACCAGCCGCCAGCCCCCGAACCCCGTGTGGGGGGGGCTTGAGATGGCCCAGCCTGAGGCGTGCCTTCGCAAGCCCATTTCGGCAGAGCCCGAGCTTCGTCAAGCTGTTTAAGGTTGAAAATTAAACAAAGTGTTTTCTCCGTTCTCTTTTCGAACAGAGGCAGGCCAAAACCTGCACCCTCCCACGGCGCTGTGCACGTGGGCAATGCCGGCAGGTACATGTGCTCACCTCAAATGCTGCCTCAAGCATCTGGCACTGCAGGCAGAGCTGCGCAGAGCTCCGTGCTGTGCGACGCGGTGGCTGCACGAATTCAGGCACTCACATCACTGCTCTCGTAGTCTTCGTCACTGGCCTCGGCGTCCTTGCTGGACGCGAAGGGGAAGATGCCGTCCATGATGCCGAAGATGATGCCGCCCAGCGTAAGGAAGATCGCGCCGATCACCTGGAAGATGTGGATCCAGGTCCAGGCGAACCTTGGAAGAAACACATTAGATAGATATAAATGACATAGAAGTTGCTATGTGCTCTGGATACATACATGTATATATCTTCGGACGGAAGTGTTGTCAAGTGCTCGAGCCAAGCGGAGTGAGAATGATTCGATGCTGGCTTCTCGTTGCCTCCAAGTCACGTCGGCTGCTCGTAGAGCTCGGTAGGTGCCTTGAAATCCTCATACCGCACAAGGCCGTCCAGCAGAGTGGGGCCCCAAAGGCCAAAGACGCCGATGGTCCAGGCGCCAATGAAGAAGCAGGCAACTGCCCAGAAGGGGCTCACCAGCTTGTTCTTGGGCAAGGGCCAGACACCCCTCAAGCCCATGCTGGTGGCAACCATGAAGCAAGTAATGCCGTAGTAGGGACAGGCATCCGCGAAGAGCGCGTGTTTGTCGGGCGCCAACACGTAAGGCAGGCTGATGATTTTGCCCGGCACCCCATCGTAGAGCCCGGACACTGCGAAGAAGATGCCACCAAAGCAGATGATCGTCTGCCCGACGGCCAGAGCCGCATTGTTGACGATCATGTTGATCTTCGTCAAGAGCCCTGCCGCCACGGCCCACAGGACACCCTCAAGACACATGGTCACCTGCATGACCGTGTGGTAGGTGCCCGCCATCTCGAACCACTTGAACGTGAAGGCGCCTGTAATCACCGAGAAGGAGATGACGAGCGTGATGCCCGCAAACACGTTGCACCAGTCGGCCATGACCACCATGGACCTCGGCGGCACGGGCGCGTCGTTCGCGATGCCCATCCTGAGCACGAGACGCTCAAACTCAGAGTCTGTTTGACTTTAGGAGACATCGGAAGCTGATGTACAGTTACAGTGCCATACGATGCAGCAATGCAGGTCCAGGCTCTTTTCAGCTCGGGAGGTCGACGAGGCCACAAGGTTCAAAATGCCAACTTGATGCTCTCGAGCCACACGGGGGCGACACGGGGGGGTCGTATACAGAGTCTATCGCAGTCGGTCCTGCTCCATGCTACGCCACCCCGTTCCCCCTGACCACGTTTTCCGGCTATCCGCGCGAGCTCGATCAGAGCAGGGCAGGCATAGCTATGTACCGAAAATCTGGGACTGCAGCCCCTGTTGGACAGCCGGTCCAGCTGCCGAAACCTGATGCTTAACCTGCCAAGGAAGGCATGTACATGGCGTGAGGGCCCCCAGCCATCGTGGGTGAGCCACACCATCGCCCAGCTTCGGCGCGCCTTTGCACACCAAGCATTTTTTCAGCAGGGCTCAAAACTGATTGCCGCTCCTGCATGCTCTTGCAGCCCCTGTGGCAACAAGAGGGCGGCCAAAAACATTGACCTACACTTGCGTGCACGCTCCGATGCGACACTGAGGGCTTCGTGCTCGCACGAAGAGCAGAGAAATTCGGTTTGTTGGAGGCTACGACGGCAAGGAGAACTGCTGCCCTCAAACAGCCAGGGATACCTCGCTTCGTGGATCCATGCTCGTTCTGTGACGCGGAGGCTGTGTTGTAGCTTCTGTCACGCCCTTAACCTGAATGCCGCTGGACCCGAAACGGAAGATGCCATCAACGATGCCGAAGATGATGCCGCCCGCGGTCAGGATAGTCGCACCGATCACCTGGAAGATGTGGACCCAGGCCCAGGCAAACCTTGGAAAGTATTCTAGACCCGAGGAGGCGAATTGGCTTGACGATGCTTGCTCCTTGTTACCTCCAAGTCACGTCTTCTGCTTGTAGAGGTCGGCTGGCAGCTTGAGATCCTCATACCGCACGAAGCCGTCCAGCAGAGTGGGGCCCCAAAGGCCAAAGACGCCGATGGTCCAGGCGCCAATGAAGAAGCAGGCAACTGCCCAGAAGGGGCTCACCAGCTTGTTCTTGGGGAAGGCCCAGACACCCCTCAAACCCATGCTCGTGCCAACCATGAAGCACGCGCTACCGTAATGAGGGCAGGCATCCGCGAAGAGCGCGTGGGTGTCGGGTGCCAACACGTAAGGCAGGCTGATGACTTTGCCCGGCACCCCATCGTAGAGCCCGGACACTGCGAAGAAGATGCCACCAAAGCAGATAATCGTCTGCCCGACGGCCAGAGCCGCATTGTTGACGATCATGTTGATCTTCGTCAAGAGCCCTGCCGCCACGGCCCACAGGACACCCTCAAGACACATGGTCACCTGCATGACCGTGTGGTAGGTGCCCGCCATCTCGAACCACTTGAACGTGAAGGCGCCTGTAATCACCGAGAAGGAGATGACGAGCGTGACGGCCGCCAACACGTTGCACCAGTCAGCCATGACCACCATGAACCTCGGCGGCACGGGCGCATCGTTCGCGATGCCCATCCTGAGCAGAGAATCTTGGTTGATCAGACTCAGACCAAACGCTAGGCAGCTTGCGGACACTGAGTACTGTAGTCACCGTGTAGTCCTGCTTGCTATGGATACTCAATGCAGATCTAGGCTCTTCAGCTCGGAATGTGGACCGAGTCCCTGAGGAAACGTGCTGCTCTCGAGCCACAAGGGGCTGAACTCTGAACCTTGAATCTGGGCCTGAACTGAACTGCATACACCGACATGTATACACACACACACCATGTCCTTAAGGCAACTGATCGTCTTTCTGCACAAGCACAAAGAGAGCATGGCCACAGCTGAACACTGCCAATCCCCCGGCACTTCTGGCCTTTGAGCGTCGCGGGTCGGGCGTCGCAGGCCGCTTGGGTGCCGCAGTCGCCTCCCAGAAGTGCTCCCCCACAGGGCATCAGTTGTTTAAGGGCTCTTGTGAGTTCCTTTTCTTGTTACGGAGATTTTTCCGGGGGGGGGGGGGGGATTCTCTTTGAGGGAAGGCTCTCTTTGTGGAAGCTGGCTGCGCCATGACAAGGAGGACACGGCATGCGGTCTCTAGAAGCGGCCTAGATGGCTGTGTCAAACTGTATCGAGGAATTCTTGCTGCGCATGAGAGCAACTCGGCCATTCTAGCATGCCTCGGAGGCCCGATACAGATGCAACCCACGACAAGATTGGGGTCCACAAGACCCCAAAGAAGTGCGCGTCAAATGGCATGGCTGAAAACCGGAGGGATTTGCCTGCAACCAGAGACGTGTAACTCTTTCAAGTTAGAGACTTCGCTTGGTCTTGGCGGTTGGTCCTATAGGGGGGTGGGCATGAAAACGGGTTGGGGGTGCCGCCTCCACCCTCCAGCCAGACCAGCACGACCTCCGAGCGGCCCTCCCGGATGTAGAAGCCAGGGTCTGAGCCTTGCAGGCTACGTCGGCTTGAAGTACTCTTTGTGTTTTTTTGTTCAATTAGAGTTTAGGTTTAGGGTTTAGGGTTTCGGGTTTTGGGTTTAGGGTTATTTAGGGTTATTTAGGGTTTATGAACCGACTGCATACTGCGGGGCCTCGGGTTTAGGGCGCAGGAAGTTCTCCGGGGTCTTTGTAGGCTCTGAGACTCTTGCCACCCATGCCACCAGGGGTTGACCTGGAATCAGGGTGCCTTTTTGTCGACACTCTGAGCCTTAGAGTTAGAAACTTACAACTTATATACGATTAAACCAACCCAACCTTACAGTACCCTGTGTACTTCAAATGAGGTCTCACGGAAACCGGAACCCTAACGCCCTAACGGAGCCAGGCTGCCGTCATTGCAGCGTGCCCCTGCATCCTTCAGCAGGTGCAGGCGCAGGGGGGCCGTGGCAGCGCCAGCGGTGCACAAGGCTTGGAGAGCCAAGAGCCGAAGGAGCCGAAGGAGGGAAGGGAGGAAACGGACGGCGGCCATGCATCGCTGGCGCTGTGGGTGCTTTACTGTTCCGGGGCAGTTTTTGTTTTGTTCTCCGTTTGCCGTTTTGGGTTGGGGAGATTGGGTCTTGACTTTGATGCTTTTCTTGGTGGATTGCAGAGTTTGGGGCGTGGGGGTCCCTGAGTCTTGGCATCCCCTCTAGTATACTTCCGCTGCTTGCGGATGAAGAGACGTCGCTATCACTCTATAAGGCCTTAAGAGCACGAGCTCTCCGGAGTCTCTGCAACTGGGTTCGTGCCCTGGATTATTATGGTACATACTGCATATCTTTGACCTGGTTTGCGCTCCAGGATCGCCATAACTTCGGCAACGTTGCCGTTCTCTAAAGCATTCTCTACATCGCGATCCCGTGCTGGGCGCCCTGCACGAACTGAACGCAGACGCGCTTGGCATGGAAGAACCGCATGTAACACCACCCCCCCCCCCACCCCAACTTCTCCCGCAGCATGCGCATATAACATCCCCAAAACCCTAAACCCTAAACCCTAAACCCCACAGCCCCAGAAGAAACCCTATTCGAGTGCATCTCACGTGTCAATGGTTTGGCAGCTCCGGGCTTCCTGCAAGGTGGCGGAGGCGGACTGCAACAGCTCGCCTGCGAAAGCTCCCAAGAGGCTTCATGGGTGAAGGGGGTTAAGGGGGTTTAGGGTTTAGGGTTTGGGGTTTAGGGTTTAGGGTTTAGGGTTTAGGGTTTAGGGTTTAGGGTTTAGGGTTTAGGGTTTAGGGTGGGTTTCGAAGTGCCGAGCTGAGGAGTTTCTGTTGCAGGCTGTTAACAGCCTTTTGCTGCCCGCCGAGGTGACACACTCTCACCTGCAGCTTCTGGATGTTTTGGGGTTTCGGGCTTGGGACAAAAATGGCATCGAAGCAAGGAAAAGCCGGCAGATCTGGCGCGAGACGAAGTTTGGATCGGAGTTCTGAAGCTACTCCTAAACAAGAACCGTCTTAAAATCCAACCAAGGGAAAGATAAAATGTCCCGTGGACGTACGTGTGGTATTGCAGCAACACTGTCAGAACGCTCGAGCCTTGACCCCTTTTTTCCCGCAAAATGCAGATTCACACCTCCAAGCTGCCGCTCAATAAGGTAAAAGCTCAAACCCCAAAGTCCCAAAAGCCATAAACCCCTAAGCCCTAAACCAACCTAAGCCTTAAAGCACCCAATAATCCCGCAGAAGAAAGACCGCAAGAGAACCCCTCAAAACGCGCAGCCTAACCCGAGCCTTCGAAGCCCAAGTCAGCAAGCTTGACTTGGCCGGTCCTTTCTTTAAAGCTTCAGGGCTCTAGGGCCATGTAGGGCCGTAGGTTTTTTTGGATTCAGGGCTCAGGGCTGGGAGTTACGGGATTTCTCCACCTCCAGCTTCTTGCAGCGCATCTGCTCATGGGCAGTTCTCTGGCGCCTTTTTCATACCCTAAGAGGCGGGGCCTCAATGTTGCGCTCGGCCCCACCCACATGTCTGACCTGCTTTGCCGTAGGCACAGAGAGGTCACAGAGCGCCGCCGTCCTGTCGAAGAGGACGCTGCTGAGCTTCAGGTTGAGGTGCGGGCTACCCAGCGTGCAGCTGCGCCTCCGTGTTCGGGGGGGGGGGGGGGGGAGCAGGGGCTTCGATATGCTTCGACGGCCACATGTAGCAATGTATGATTCTGACTGTACCGTTCCTGGACATAGGTGCGATTACCTGAGCTTAAGGCTTTCTGAACAGCAGCCCAAGTGAGGAGGGGCTCTGAGCCTAAACCCCAAACCCTAAACCCTAAACCCTAAACCCTAAACCCTAAACTATCTCTTCATCCAAGGCAAGATCCGGGCCCCCGGGCAAGTGGCTCAGGGCGCTTGCCACCGCAGCCCCCAAGCGAAGGCGATCCGCCTCATTGCGCCACGGGAGGTGCTTTCAGCACTTTTGGGTTTAGGGTTTAGGGTTTAGGGTTTAGGGTTCAGGGTTCAGGGTTTAGGGTTTAGGGTTTAGGGTTTAGGGTTTTGGGACCAAAGGTGACCAAAGGCCTTCGGGCTCAGGACCATGCACTCAGAGCCCCGAGCCCAGGCAAACTCCTTCTCCCCCTTCCGCGAGAGCGCCAGCCTGAACTACAAAAGGATGTCTCGGAATTTCGTAGAGTTTGGGGACTCCAAGAACGTGTAGGGTTGGGCTTTGGGGGTTAAAATGGCTACAAGTTGCCCAAACAAGGACAGCGATAATCAGTTGCACGAAGAGGGGCGAGTGGAGAACAAACAACGGCGCGCTTAGGGAACAAGCGGGCGATCATGTCAAGAACACGCGCCGGGCGAGGCAGCCACTGCCTGAAACCCTTCAACCCGAAGCCGATGCTGCGTGCTGCCTTCTAACACAATGCTGTTGCAACTCTAGCTCGCCTAGCTCGCCTAACCCCCAGACCCCACAAGGCCCTAAAGCCACCCTTCCTGTTGCATCTGGGCAACGCTGAAGTCAGGGTAAGGCACCCGAAGCCGCCAACACCACTCCAGCGATTCAAGCCTACGAACCCTTTGCAACCAGGACTGAGAAGAGCTGCCGGGAAACTCACGCCCAGCCTGAAAAGCCTAAACCCTTGAGCCCCAACTGCCCGAAAGGCCCCAAAAGCTCAAGCACTAAACCTAAAAAAACAACCAAAGAGTTCTATAGCATCCTCCCCCAAAGCCCAAACAACCCTAAACCCCCAAAGGGGGCTCAAAAGGATCCTCCCCCAAAGACCCCCCCCCCCGGTGTCCTCTTACTGGCATCCTGCGGGTCGAGCATGTCGTAGACGACCTGCTGGCGCTTCAACATTGTGTTTCGGTTGCCGCAACGTTCAGAAGAAGTGGGGGGGAAGGGGTTTAGGGTTTAGGGTTCAGGGTTCAGGGTTTGGGGTTTAGGGTTTGGGGTTTAGGGCTGAGGGTTGAGGGGCCGGCACGCACGCGAACACTGGGGGGACTACGTCACCGGACTCTACAAACGCATTCTCACCCGACAGCACAAATTCAAAGCACGTTGAGCCAGGAGTCGAACGACACGTCTCTTCAATCCAAATAGAAGACCCAAGCATCCTCAAAGGCACCCGGCGAAAAACCACATGGAGTAGGGTAGGGCGGGTAGGGGTCTTGGGTCTTCCGTGGCTGGGTGTGCGACTTAGACCAAGTCAGAATGCTGAACCTTTCAGCAGGACGACTACCGACGGGCCTACAGAGGTACATATTGCCTTTCGCCCGTTTTGTTGACACCCGATTGGAGGGCGATTGGAAGATGGGGAACACGGCAAGCGGCGCACAATCCAGACCTCGAAGAGCCCCAACGACATGCGAAAGCACAAGAAGCTCTGAGCCAACATTTCCATTCCGTTGGTAAGGGGGGCTGAAGGTTGTGGCTGTAGGGCTAGGGGGTTGGCGTGCTTTTCGCCTTATTGGGGCATTTCTCCCCAGAATCCCAAGACACCCTTTTTTCATGTAGCTTCAGGCGTCATGCCCACACACCCAAGCTTCTCGAAATAAACATTAAATGGAACCTCGCTCTGCAAGGACCACCGCCCAGTAGCTTGATCGGGGAAAAAAGGCCCTTAGCTATGAACAAGCTGGCTATGGCTAGCGGCTGGTGAGGAATGACAGGAGCTGAATGATCTTACCCGCCTTCCTTGATTCGCTACTGACCATACAAGAGCTCTTGTCATGGCTTCGGGGCTCCAAAAAGACAACAAAGCCCAAAAACAAACACCAAGGAGAAAGAACAGCAAGAAAAAAAAAAAAAAACAACGGAGAGGTGCTGTGAAAAATTCTCTGGCAAGGCCCGGGCATAGCACCTATCTGCTTGCTGACACCAGCCTCGGCTTAGCTTCTTCGGTTGAAAGGGGGAGTTAGTGCGTTGCCCCGGGCTTCCTCGGGGAAACTTTGTGCTTCATTCGCTGAAAGCCTCTCCTCAGGCCTGAGGAGCGGGCCCGGGCCGAAGGAACTAGGGGCCCTGCACCGTTTACCCGGTTTACTCCGAGTCCCTAATTACATTCTTCGACGCCGGTCCATCCGAGCCCAAACATAGGTCCTTGTGACAGGGATTGAAGACGCACTTTCCCGGCAGTCAAAGCACGCTGCGGCCCGCAACAGATCGAGGGTTTCCCCGAAAACCACGACTCACAGTCGGAGCATGGCAGAGCGGAACCTTGACGCCTCTACACGCTAGACCCATGCACCCTTAAAGAGCCTCAGGCAGCAGCACACCCCCCACCCTCTAACCACCCATAAATCTCGCCCAAGCCCCCTGCTCACAGGCAGCAGGAGATGCGCGTGTTGCTCCATGCCTTTTTTGCAGGGTTTAGGGTTTAGGGTTTAGGGTTTAGGGTTTAGGGTTTAGGGTTTAGGGTTTAGGGTTTAGGGTTTAGGGTTTAGGGTTTAGGGTTTAGGGCTTAGGGTTCTTGCAGAAAGGGTGCCAGTGCTTCTAGCAAGCTTCGGCCTGTGAAAGGCACAGCTCAAAACCCTCGATCTGGAGCCTTCCACCATCCCAAAATACCCTCTGGAGGTTTAGGGTTTAGGGTTTAGGGTTTCGCCACCCGCACTGCACGCACTGTAGGGTTTAGGGGTTAAGGGTTAGGCGTTAGGGTTTAGAGGGGCATGATGTTGATTTTGGCAAGCTGGTGAAGAAAGCACTCGGAGTGGTGCTGCCGAGCGCTGTCAATCCTCAGCTGGGCGTGCCCCCCTCGAAAAGAAGAACTTGGGTGCGGAAAACGGCCCCTACTTGAAGGTTCATGGGTACTTATTATAAGTGCCCTCAATAAGGTTATAATCATAGCCACCTTACTTTATAACCTTACTTCCAAGTACCCATGAACCTCCAAGTAGATCCCCTTCTCAGGCTTCTTCCGGAAGTTGCAAGGAGTCAAAAACAGAGCCGCTCTGCCTCTCCTCTTCCTCGTCCGTCGTTCTCATGCTCGGTTCCCTCCGTCTCCTCCTAAAACCTAAACACTATAAGTCCTAAACAATAAAAACCCTAAACCCCAAATCCCAAACCCTAAACCCTAAACCCTAAATTTTCATGATGAAGGGAGCTCGCCTCGCCTGGCAGAAGGGTCAGTGCCGGAGGGGTGACGGTTGTCTGCGGCTCGTTTTCCTAACAATTTAGACCCTTAGAGCGTCGCCGACGGCTGTCTTTACCGGTGCTTCCATCTATTCTTGTTGTTCTTCTTGTTCTTATTATTCTTCTTATTGTTCTTCTCCTTCTCCTTCTCCTTCTCCTTCTCCTTCTCCTTCTCCTTCTCCTTCTTCTTCTTATTCTTCTTATTCTTCTTCTTCTCCTCTCTCGCTCTCTCGCTCTTTCGTTCCAGCTTTCTTTGTTATTTGTGTATGCATTTCTTTCTTTCGCTCTTTCGTTGGCCTGCTTTTAAAGTGTGTTTCGTTGGTTATCCTTCGTTGTGTCTTTCTTGCTTATTCCTGCCTTCCTGCCTTCCTGCCTTCCTGCCTTCCTGCCTTCCTGCCTTCCTTCCTTCCTCCACTCCCTCCCTCCCTCCCTTCCTCCCTCATTCCTTCCTGCCTGCCTTCCTTCCTTCCTGTATTTCTACATGCGCGTCCGTCTACCACTGTGTCTCAATGCTACTGGACGCGTTGGAAAAGGGGTAGCGCTTTTCAGGCGGTCTCGTCGCTTTACAAGGGTTTTGTTGCCATGCATGTTGCCAGAAGAGCTTGGGGTGCGATTTTTTTTTCGAAGCATCCGTCAGCTTAGATTTACCTGTTCTGTGGGAGTGTCGCTTTTCAAGCGGTCCCGTCGCTTTGCAGGGTTTGGTACTTTGTGTCCCGCTCTAAATACCTCGCAAGAGCCGCCGTTTTTGGTTGATGCTCACATGTATTTCTCTGTGGTTCTACATTTTGTTTGTTTCTCTGTGTCTTGTCTTCGTTGATGCTTTTGATCCTTTTTTCTTTTCGTCTCCTTTCTTTCTCTTCTCTCTCGCTCTCTCTCTCTCTCTCTCTCTCGCTCTCTTTTTGTTCTCGCTTTCTCTCCCCCCCCTCTCGCTGCATGCCAATTCTCAACCTGTTTCATGGGTTTCGACCTTTTGCGTCTGATTTGCTGTCATTTTGACAGCTGCACGCTGTCCAGGCGTACTCTCCACTGGAAAGCAGCCTGTGCGACACACGCGGGACCCTAGACTCCTTATTTTCGATTAAAGATTTCGCATTATTTTTGAATGCCGTACATATTACGTCCTTAAAGATCCGGCGCCGAGTGCATTTCTTGCAGCGGAAGCTTCGACGCCGGATCTTCTGGCAATCTTCGCCTTGGGAGCATGCTCGGCCGCATGCATGAGAGCACTCTATGGGGGTTTCCGAAGATAGTGGAACCCTTGTTGCGGGTCCCTTTAAGGGGCTATTCTATTTAGAGGTAGAAAAGGAGTACCCCTACTTTGGGAAATACCCATAATATGTACTTAAATGACTTGTACACTGTAGCCATGTACTGGACTGTTACCGTATAATCGGTAGACTGCTAACACAATCTTAAAGGAACCGTGAACGTGTGGTGAATGCAGCGAATACAAACAAAGCAGCCGGCAGAAGCCATGAGGCCGCGGGAGAAACTGAGATTTCGGAACTAAGAGGAATCGGGCCTTCCGGATTCGGGGTGAGGAGGGGTGTAAGATGGTGTACGGTTTGGTTCCCGCCTACCCACACTTTCGCTCACCTCGGAAAAGGCTTTGCTACCTAGCTGCTTGGGGCAAGCGGAGGGGTGACAGAACAAAGCTCGGCCTCATGAAACCCTCATGCGCTTGAGCTATTTACACCCAAAGCACTGCAACAACTTTGGCAAAGCAAGGCAAAGCGGCAGATGGCGGAAACCACCTTTGCCCAAAAACCCTGCACACAAGCCGAAAATATGACGTGGCACCAGATTCATCAGCGCCATGTTCAAACACTCTTTGGGACTGTTGAAGAACGGAGTTTCCCAGCGCAACTAGGCTGTCAGTTAATCAAATGGTGTGGGTCCGTCGGGAGTTGCGGACGTAAGGCTTGAAAGTGAGATTTTGGCCGGGAGCACCTAAGTCACCGAGGGCGGAGCTCTGCAGATCTTTGAACACCTGCGTGCACGAACCCCTTCCGCTCCCCCTGTAAAGGCTCTCCGGCCCCAAACCACTTCGACTCCCCTACCACCAAGCTTCGTGCTCGTAAACTCAAGGCCCGCCCCGGAACCGAAACCTTCAAGACATTTTGGTTTCGAACCGGGCGGGGGGGGTGGTGAGTAGGGTGAGTATTCCCAATGATGGGGGGCCCTTTCAAGGGGGGGTTTCTCGGCTTCTCTTAATTTGCAGCCTTCTACCAGGCAACTGCCAAGACTCAAATTCCCCTGAGGCTTGGGCTTCCAGATTCCCATTTAAGAAATCTCGCACGCTACACGTTCTCGGAAGGTATTCTTGAAGGGTCTCCGTTGATCAACCGGAACCTGGCCCTAGCAAACGTCCCCCCCCCCCCCTCCCCCCTTGACCAGCTGGGCCTTCACGACGACTTTGCGCCCTTCCTCCAGCTTCCCGGCCTCGTACCTTCCGTCGGACTGCCAGTGGTTGAGATGTTTATCGAGCCCGATCCCTGCCCGACATGGCCATTTATCTCTAAGGGGGACCTCAAAAAGTGAGGAAACTGCCGACGTGCACTTTGCACATGTGTGCACCGCATCTCCGAATTACCCCATCTACCCGAAAAAACAGCAACTCCGGGAAGAACACGACTGCAAGTTGACCCGCGAAGCGTTCTAATTTTGTATGAGTTCCCGCGCGCTGCATGCATACATATATATATATACATATATATATATATACATATAAGTGTATATCATTAACGCGTATGCAATGTGGGTTTCTATGTGTGTATATATATATACAGTATATACTGTTGCATATATTTGTACATGTCTGTATCATTTTTTTTAAGTATAGGTATAGTTCTCAAGGAGACACTCATTCTGGACGAACGAAGAACAGGATGGTGTCTCGAACGCTGCTCCACGCAAACCCTGAATCCGGACCCAACCCCGGCATCTGATCATTGCCCGAAGAAAAAATTACCCGAAACATACCAAAACACCAAGCCTTTCGGCGGAGCCAAGCGCCTCGTCAGCATTCCTGGCAGATTGCGGCTGTTGCACGCATGCACAACTAAGCCCTGCCGCCCAAGCTTCACATGAACACCACACGCGCACGGACGCCAACTCCACTCTCTCTCTCTCTCTCTCTGCCGCGCCATCCCCTAGGGTCTTGCTTCGCAAGGGCACGAAAAGTAGGCTAGGATCTCAGGAGGCGCAGTGAGACCGCAGGACAACTCCACTGGAGGCCCTTACTATTTTCCAAACTGCTATCGTAAGAATCACTTGCGCGCTGTGGGTTCCCAAGGTTTCGGGTTTTGTGGGTCCTCCGAGGCTTGGCTAAGGAGGTGAAAAAAGCCGTCCCCTCGTCCCTTCCCGGCCTCAGGGCCCGGAGCACCAGCTCTTCTGACCTGGTGTTTGTTCTTTGGCCCAGGTTTCGGGCTTCGGGGGGCATTGGAGGGGCGCAATAAAAGGGCACAAAGGGAAACTTGGGGACCAAGGCCAGAACCCGAACATTGGGATCCTATTACCAACTCTGTCCCGTACTCCTTCTCATCCCTCTTAAACAGCATATCTGGGCCCTCACTACCCCCAAACCCTCTAAGGGCTCATGTCATCCCACAACCCTGAACTCCTAAACCCTAGCCCTAAACCCTAGCCCTAAACCCTAAACCCGAAACCCCCCCTCCGAGTTGATCCGAGTGGCAGCTCCGCCCCCAGCTCTGTCGGCGTCGACTCGGAGGCCTACCGGGTTAAGGGTTAAGTTGTTTAAGTTTGAACATTTGGGGTCTTAGGGTTTAGGGTTTAGGGTTTAGGGTTTAGGGTTTAGGGTTTAGGGTTTAGGTTTTAGGTTTTAGGGTTTAGGGTTTAGGGTTTAGGGTCTTTTTGGCACCCGCATAGCTGGACGAACCACTCCGCAGGGATTCCAAGGTTTAGGGTTTAGGGTTTAAGGTTTAGGGTCTAGGGCCTAGCTGGCACCGCGCGTGACACTCTGCAGGGGCGAAACCGAGTCAAATGGGACGTCCGAGATGCACAAGCTTTTGCGCTACCCCAGTCAACGCAACGCCGGAATATTTAGGGTTGTTGAGGGGGGTTGTGGGGCTTTGCAAGAAGTCAAGAAAGGGCTTTAAGGGGTTCCAGGGCTTTGTGATCAACCACCCAAAGATCGGATAGCGCATTAGCTTCTATTATTTCTAGAATACCAGGAAAATCAAATACACTCTTTCATGTACAACCAAATATACAATACAGAAATGTGCAATATTGAATATATATATATAGAGAGAGAGAGAGACCAATGAAGTGATATATATATATATAGATAGATAGATAGATTATGAAGTGATCCAACATTAAAAGACATTAATAAATATGTATATATATATATCACATGTTTTAAAGATAATAGCATATGATTTTTGCATGTTATGTCACGCGTGAGGATGAGTCTCTCAATTGCGGAGGCCAGGCCCCCGACCCCCATCGCGGCAAGGCGCGCTGTGGGCCATGGGAAGATGGAGGCGACTCCGAAGGGGGGCTTCAGGGAGCCTTTTTTGTGGGGGCGGCGAATGACAAGTTGAGTTGTATGCAAACACAATATAACATAATATCGAAAACAAAACCCAATAGAATACCATATTGTATCATATCACATAGTATAGCATAATACACCGCAATACAGGGTTGGCTGTCTTACAGTTGGGCCGAGGGTGTGGATTTGGTTTGGCGTTGACAGTTGTTTTTTGGCCGCTTTTGCTTTCGCGACCGATGGTAGCGATTGTTTTTCTTTAAGGGCCTGGGCTTCGGCTTTTGCGGCCTCTGACGCCCAAAGTCCTGGCTGCGCAAGATCAGATATGACTGCCGACTCATTCCTCTCCCCCTGCTTGAAACCCTACACTACACTCCTCCTGGAAACGAATTCAGTCTTGGGCTCGTTGCAAAGTAAACAAGAAACCTTTTCAAGAACAGGGCCCTTTTCGAACAACCTTTGGGAACATACTAAAACTTGGCTTTACCCTCAAGGTTGCTGGCTCACTTCCCTCACAGCATGCACCCCCTGAGGAGGAACAAACCCTCAATGCCCTTGGCCCTCCTGACGGTCAAGTCACAGCCCCAAACGCCAACTCCAAAATCGGCATCCCCCCCCCCCTCTCCCCCAAAAAAAGAAATGGAATCTACAAGATCACCCTGATGGCCAGACAGGAAGTGGCTCTTCTTTTCTTCCCGGGGCGACCTTGCAATAACGGTCCCTCGGCGCACTTCCACCGGGCCATAACCGCTCTGAACGAGACAGCCTCGGCAAGGAAGCTGGGGGCTACTTGGAGATTCATGGTACGTATGAACCAAATGATAAGTACCCCACTTGTAAGCCCCTTAAGTGCCCTAATATGGCTACAAGTACAGTTATAAGTACAGTTATAACTGGTTCATAAGCACCATGAAGCTCTAAGTAGGGTTGCTGGGACCCAAGCAATTGCCGGGGTTTGGGGATTGTAGGGATTCTAGGGGCCACGCCAAGATTTGCGAAAGGGCCGCCCTCATACCCCCCTGCACCCCCGAATCTCACATCAGAGCCGCTGCGGCTGTCTGGGCACGTGGAGTCGTGGACCAGGTCCCAGCCTCGTGGGCTTCGGGTTTCGGATATTTCAATTCGGGTTTAAAAACTTGAAATCCTCAAACATACCCATGTTCGTGCCCCAAAGCCTCAAAAAAAACCCTGCGGCAACACTGCAGCCCCATGCTACTGGCTCAGAAAACATCTCAAGGACCAGCAGCTCTCGAGCAGCCCTCGGATGCGGCCGCGGTCCTCGCGGGGGCAGCAAAGTCCTTGAGCCTTTCTGTTGACAGCGTGTCCTAAGCCCTATAAACCCTTTTTTCTAAACCCTAAACCCTACCCTAAACCCTAGTTAAACCCTAAACCCTGAACCCTAAACTCCCTTAACCCTGGTTGTGACGAGAGCTGCTTCGGAATCCTCCGAGGCCACCTCCAGGATGACCAGCATGTCGGCACGCTCCCGCAGAAGACCCGCCCGCTCTTGCAGCCAGGGCCAGGTGAGGTCGCTGAGGCCGAGGAAAAGGAGGTCCACGCGGGCCTTCGCTTGAATTTCCCCCAAGATCGAGACACGCAAGGAGGCGGCAGGGGCTGTTACATCATCGTTACATCAAGTTCCACCCTTCAAGAGGAGCAAAAATATAAAAAAACATCAAGTGACCTGGTCTTCAAGCCACTGCGACAGCGAGGCCAAGGAGGGCGGCCGGCAGTGGAGCGCGGGCTTGTGCAAATCCTCCAGGAAGGCTCGCAATAGGAGGCCGCAAAACCACTCCTCACCTTCTCCTTCGACTCTTTCCACTTCTGCCACGTACAGGTGCGAGGGCCGCGCCCTGCGTTGCGACATGGTGGCTGCCCGTGCTGCCCAGTGTCCCAGCATGGCTCCGATAGTCCCCATGACAAAAGGACCGTCACTGCTGAGAACCGCCTCCCCCACTGCAATGCCCAGGAAGTAGCCTGCATCCACCATGGGCATGGGAGGAGATGCAAGCTGCAGCCCCGACCGCAGATGTGCCACATGTATCTGGCAGAGCCACTTCCAGTACTCCCGTTCTGCCGTCCAGTGGTCACTCCTGGCACCAAGGGGTTGAGCTGGTTTAAAAAAACCGTCCGAGCCCACCTTTTCAGCCCTTCAAGCCATGATGGATAAACCCAGGTCACCAGCCCCAAACCCAGATCGCCACAACTTCACCCGCTCTTCGCTTCATCCGGTTTTTCCCCCACCTTGCGCGGCCCGCAGGCGTTGCTTCGCCGCTCCGGCAGATGCTTCGGGGCCAGCGAAGGCCGGTCCAGTCGAAGACATACCTCTGTAGTCCCCCCTGAAATGCAAAACGCGCGCATGCACGTGCGCACGCGTGCGCGCACACGCAAGCTCGGAGTGCTGATGGGGCTTCGAGGGGGCTTCGAGGGGGCTTCGAGGGGGCTTCGAGGTGGCGAGTTAAAGTCCTCAAAGGCTCCTTGCACTCTCTGACCCTCTGCATTGCGCGAAGAGCCTTGCAAGATTGCCTCAAGGACCCTACTGCAAGCGCACGTCAGCCCAAAGCTCCGAGGTGCTCTTGGGTCACCGGCCAGGGCTCAACGGGAAGGTCTCGGAACATAGGATGGTGCGTGTACCTGGAGCACAGGGTTGCAGGGTTTAAGGCTTATATAGGGCCTGGCTATAAAGGCGCGAGGGTAGAAGAAGTGGGTTTAGGGCGGCTGTTCCTAAAGCTGAGGTGCTGCTGCCCATCGGCCCGATTCAGTGCAAGAAGTGGCTCGCGCGGGGCCGCTGGGGCATTCTTCTGCCGGAGACGCTCCAGTACCTAAGCAGTCGGAGTTTGGGAGGAGTCAGTAATGGTCAATATTGCAGTGTTTGGGCAATCACCTGCGACCTAATGGCTCAATCCGGGAAACCTGAGAAAAGCCACTGCCAAACTGCAAACCAAAAAGCCGTACAAATTCACCCCACCCCCCCTTCCCTAGAAAGCCGAAGCCCAACACAAACGCCCAAGCGATCGCAATTCCCTTCAAGCATTTGATCCCAGGGGGCATCCAGCAGCTGCGTCCCGCTGCTCTTACCGAGCATCCCAAGCTCCTGCACAGAGAATGGTGATGCCAATGGGGCCCTCGCAGCAGCACTGGCGAAACGCAGCCATCCCCTTCGAACCTGGTCCAAAGCCCATTTGAGCCATGGCTTTTATTCCATGATGCTTTTAATGGAAATCTATTTCCTTCCGCGGAACCCTTCCGCGGACCTTCCGCGCAAAACGTTTGTCGTCTTAGGCACGTGTCCCATGAAGTTCCGGAACGACAGTCGATGTTGAAACCGAACAAGCACATGGTATAGGGAAGTCTGCGGCCCATAGCACATAGAAGAAGTGACAGAACCGCGCATGAAAACGATGAAACCTGTAAACAACACAGGTGTGCAGGGTTCGTCGTTGTGCTGCTGTTGAACGGAGAACTACTGTATGTCGTCATTTCGAAGATGGTTTTTCACAAGTAAGCCTACAAGAAGCGGAAGCCCATTGCTTTTCGTTAAACCCTCTACAATTCAGCCCTGTTCCCTTCCCGCCCGGCTCCTGCAGAAGGGAGGCCGCAGTCAACCCCCAAACCCTAAACCCTAAACCCTGAACCCTGAACCCTAAACCCTTAACCCTCAACCCTAAACCCTGAACCCTGACTAAACTAACCCTAAACCCTAAACCCTAAACCCTGATCCCCTGCAGAAAAGGGGTCCTCCTCGAAGCGGCAGCCCTTGCCCGGGCCCGGCGAGCCCTGGGCCCCGCCGCAGCTGCGAAAGGGCCCCGAGTGGAAGCGGAAGATGGGGATGCCCGCCTCTCTTTTTTGGCTTAGGGTTGAGGGTTGAGGGTTGAGGGTTGAGGGTTGAGGGTTGAGGGTTGAGGGTTGAGGGTTGAGGGTTGAGGGTTTCGGGTTTAGGGCTGTGCGATTTGGATTTGGGCTTGTTTTTGGGCTTTTGGGGTGTGTGTTTTTGGTTCTGTTGGTGTTGTTGTTGGGCTCTTTTGGGCTTCTTTTTGGGCTTTTGTTGGGGTATTTTTGGGGCTTAGGAGACATGTTGAGGTTGTTGCTCCGGTTTGTAGGTATTTTGTGGCTGCTTCGCAATGCTTTGATATTTGGCTGTATATGCCCAGTTCTTGTCTTCAAGTCTAGTTTTGTTGGTTTTTTGCAGAACCAAAGCCGGGCTATAAGGAGGCGACATGTTCCATATAGAGTTAGCGGTAGACGGTTTCGGGGTTCTGCGGCTCAGCTTGCCAAGCTTGCAATCTCGGAGCCGAAGGCTTATAGGCTTCGGAGATCCGTTGCCTCGAGCTCTTCTTTTGGGTGTTCGATGTTCAGGGCCATCGGATCCGGAGTGGGGTTGCGCCAGCCTTCTCCAGGATGTAGCGAATGTGCTTCTCAACCTGGGCTGAAGAAAGACCCCGTGCGCAAGGCTTTCCCCACGGCCAGAATAGAAAAACACCAAACTGTGCTAAAGGCAGTTGCCTCGTCACATTCAGGCTCCCGGGATAGGTGCGTCTCCCGCAGCTGTGGTACCACTCCCTGGCAGGGAGTCCCGATGGTTTACAACCCTCTCACATGGGTAGTTTCTTCTCTACATTCTCCTGGGTCCCCCAAAGTGTGCGGGAATCATTATTCGTTTACAGAACTGCCCACATTCACCCTCTCACCCGATGAGCTCTTTGCCTCTCGCCTCAGCTCCTTCCGCATGGCCGTCTGCGTGACGGAGTCGTGCCGGCCGGACATGTACACATCCGCACTGCGACGGTCGCACCAGGCCTTCGTTAGACTTCGTTAGAGACAGGAGGGGCCCAGTTGGAGAACCCCAACAGCCATCGCAAAGCTGCAGGACCTGGAAGCCTCTCATCTCGCGTGCCGCATCCTAACCAAATTTGAATTTTACGAACCCCATAGACAAGCCGAGTGACGTGGTGGTCGTTGAGGCCGCCCCAGTCATTGCCTCCCCGATACCTCGGCTCTCTTTTGGAACACTAATGCCACATCCGCCGGCATCGTGAGAACCAAAAGGGTGGAAATACACTTTGGTGGTTCGGAGGCGTATGGCTTATGCCACGGAAGGTTGCTCTTAAGAAGCCACCCCAGCCACCCTGAACCCGGAAATAAAATCTTGCCCTGTTGCCCTGTGGCCTGGGGGGGGAGGGGCTTCAAAAGCCACAACTAGGAGAAATGCCAGGCAAGAGGCCACGGAATCCAGCAGCCCTGGCTGTCCGGCAACTGGGGATGGGGCTCCAACCACATGTTGTCGAACCGCGACAGGACCACGTGTCGGTACCGGTACCTGCAAGCTTCCCACTACAATTCCGATTGCAGGATTCAAATAACCCCCACTGCCGGTCTTCTCTTACGTCACGCTATGGACCCTGCTTACTGCACAACCCTATATACTCAATACACACCTCGAAAGCCCTTAGCAGCCTTTGCACAACCCCTAAATCGCATGGGACTCGACCCTTCTGGCGAGTCACCCCCTTTGGAGCTCCTCCTCGTCGATGAGCTCCTTGCAACGCCTCACGAACCCGAATATCCGTTTTTGTAAGCTACAGTACCTCAGGATCCTTTAATGTGGCTTGTCATAGTCTACACAAATGCTGGGGTGGTCACACTGGAGCGGAAGGCTTCAGGCAAGCGTCTAGATGGGCATTGGCTCTCAAAGCCTGGTCGTGTGCCCCAAATGGCCGTGTGCCCAGTGTCATCGGGCTGTGCACTGCATGGGCCCAGAAGGACAATTGAAACCCCCCCCCTCCTGTACTGTCACTGGCCCAGAACCCGAAGAGCCACACATCCCAACCCAAAACAAAAAGACCCTAAACCCTAAACCCAAAACCCTAAACCCTAAACCCTGGCCTCAAACTGTACACTTGGAACCAGCCCGAACCAGGGAAGACGATGCCACCCAGGAAGTTGCCTCGCAAGAGCGTATGTGGTTGGTTTTGCGCAACCCGGCAAGATGAGACCACAGTTCCCTTTTATCCATACCTCCCTCCCGCTCTCTGCCGGAACCCACGAACAGACACAACTCCGGATTCTGAGCCCAAATTTGCTACGAACCCAGAGCCTCCCCCTCCGCTTCAAGAAAACAAACACAGAGAGAGAGAGAGACACAGAGAGAGACAGAGACAGAGAAGATGCACAGAAGGCGGATGGAAGGGTCGTTAACAGAATGGCCCCCCTGAAGAGTCCAAAAAGAGCACCTTCCATGTTGAAGGCCTCCTTCCAGCCGGGGAACTCGTTGAGATACCTGGGGTCCTTAGGGTCCTTAGGGTTTAAAAGGCTTCTTGGGGTTTTCGGGAAAACCTAGAGGAGGAATATGAGTATGTGAGTATGCGATCACCAACGCTAGACTAGGTACCGACTATCACTTTAGAACCCAACCCGGAGTGGGAGAAGGGGAAAAAGGGGGGGGGGGGGGTAAAGCTCTCCACGCAACGCTGGGGCCCCGCCTTGCGGGATCCACTGAGTTGGCGGCCAGGTCAGCCCGCTGCCAGGGGCGAAATGGCTCGAGGTTGGCTTCCGTGGCCTCCCGATTGGCGGCGGGCATGTTCCTTAAGTAGGCCCTCAACAGCCCAGACCTCGACTCCCGACCCCAAACCCCCCAATAAAGGCACCCAAACTCAACCCGAAATCCCATCCCCGAGCCCTCCTGCCCCCCAGCTTCTGGCTCCTGTATCTTAAAATTTCCTTTTTAAGGCCATTAAGAGGCTGACCTGCTTAGCGATGCTTAGCGGCTTAGGGTGCGATGGAGGACTGGAGGCTTCGCCTCGCTCTTCGTTTCCCGGGGGCCTCCGTGGACACGAGGAAGAGCTCCGCACCCAGCACCTGCGCCACGCGCCTCCTGTGGAACACGGAAGGGGCATCTCGGGAGGTTCTTGTAAGAAGCCTTGAGTCGCGAGGTGTCAGATCAGCATCGTGGCAAACATATCAAACATCATGGCCTCATGGCTTCAGCCGCCGGAGCGGCGCCCAAGTTGCCAAAGAGGCAGAGGGCCTTATTTTTTTTGGCAGGGCTGCGGCAGTGCGCGAAAGCATGCGAAAGCCATTCGAGGGCTCCGGGTCGGTTCCGAAAAACATGCACAAACAGCCCGCAAACGCCAACAACCACCAAAGACCCCGCCAGAATTGTCAGCCCTTTTCGTTGCTCACGTAAGGAGGTCCCCTTGTCACTGTCACCCTGAAGCGCAGCATCCTCTGACCGGGGAGCCGTTCCCGCGCCGTACCACCGTGGAGGCGTCCGCTGTGGCCGCAGCTGCTCGAAGCAATGGGACTCCTCTTTGCGAAGAGAGGGGCACTTGCGACACTTCATTGAGGCTGTGTATGGAAGCTCTGCTCCCCCAGACCTCACCAGCCACTGCACCGCAAGTTCCGAAGCCCCGAAACCCAGGAGGCGTACTTCGAGTCAGAGCGCCATCCGTGCCCGGCAGAGCTTCTGGATCTCTAGCGCCTTGGCTCCCCAAGCAGCTCTACGACTCTACGAGTACTGGCAAGGTGCACGTGTGTGTGTGTGTGTGTGTGTGGGCTGATTAGGGCTAAAAAGTTCACCATGTGGAAATGTGACTGGGAGCCTGAAGTCTTCCTCGGCTCTCGTCCTAACATAGCCCAGGGGACCTTCTCTAGAGACCTTGTCAGGACCGCACCGTTTAGTGCTCAGAAACCCTAGGTTTTTGTAGGACGTACTGTACAAAAGGGGCTCGAGGGTATAGGCTTGAGACACTGAAGGCAATCCCAGGCCTTGAAAGTGATTTTGCCAAAAAAAGAACCTCTTGTCTTGGCCCTCCGAAAGGACCTCTACAAACTCACAAAACACTGCAAACCCAAAAAACCAGAGAGGTGCCCCGTGCAGGTGCCAACCCCCAGATGCGAGCAAAATCCAGTTGGGCATCGGGAACGGAAAATCTTAAAGCCCCAACACCTGAAAACCTTGAGAAAGGAAAACCATCAACAGCTTTCACAATCATAGCACACAGCAGACACTGTACGAAGGTCTTCGAAGACTGACAGAGTTCAGTCGGAAGACGCCTACGAACCCCAGATCTCCCCCCCGGTCCATTGTACTCCGCTTAGAGCCTCAATGAAAGAAAGTTGTTGAATAGCCCCTTGGTTGTCAAAGAACAACAAACACCACAATCCTAAGCAGACTACAGCGAGGGGCGTGAAGTTGAAGCCCGTGGCCGGCAAAGAGGCCGGGACAGGAAGGGCTGAGGATGCAGTCCTCCCACAGCGAAGGGCACACGGCCCCACGGCTTCAATGTAGAGGCCTAAATTGGAGCTAAATCATGAAAAGGCTGGTGCTGTGGTCCATCTACCTGGTCATATCTCTTATGCTCCCGAATCAACTCCCTTCACGGTGAACGGCCTGTTTCGGGTTTGGAAGGAGTGCGAGAAGTCCTGGCAGATGCTGCGGTTGCCACGTGAGGCTCCGAGGCATTCCTCTTCGCAAGATGGCTCGGGCGCCAAACCTGAGTTGCATCACACCCTAAGCCCTAAACCCTAAACTTAAACCCTATAAGCCCCAAACCTTAAACCCTCCAAACCCTAAACCCTGAACCCACATCCTCAGGGGCCTCAGGCCTCTGGCCTTTGCGGAAGCGACCGCGGTGCTCAATGACAATAGTCCGAGAGGCCCGCCATGTCTCGCCATCCGCATACCGCCTCAGAAAGCGCGGGGAGCGCAGGAGCAGGCGCAATCGGAAGCCATCACTTGAGCGTCTCAAGGGGCGCTTCCTCCGTCTTTGGGGGGCACCGACCTTGAGCCACAGATGGATAAACATGGGCCGGCTGTTTTCACTGAACAAGCCAGATTGTGGACTTAAGAGGCTTTGGGGGGTTATGGGCTTTGGGTGCCCCCACAGGCAGGACTTTTTTGCCGTGGCCATGAAGCACACAAGCGAAAATCGCGACGGCTGCACCGTGGACCCATGTTCCGAAAACCGCAAATTTGGGGGGGGGTTTCGTGGGGTTGGGGGGGGGGGGGGGGGAGGTTGTGTGGGTGGAGGAAGTTTGGGGGTCTTCGACCCTTTAAGATCTCATCGCGGACCGGAACGGCACAAGAACTATGGGGAAGCTCTGATAATTCGTTTCTTCTTCTTGCTACAAGACAAGAAACATCTTGCACCTCCATCATCCTACAGCACCCAAACCCATCACAAAACCGAGTCGGGGACTGAGAGTTTCTCTTCTCTCGGGAGCACGACATTCCAGCTTGGGGTTTTCAAGGGGTGTTGAGCCAGGTTTGCGGTGCTCTTCGCAAGGGGCCACACAAGGGTCACATAAACATCCCGAGAAAATGGTGGTCCCAAAAGCTTAAGAGCTTCGGGAGAGGCTGCCTTCACTGTGGAGACATTCCCTGGCCAGGCGGCTACTTCGCAACCTGCCCAGCTCTGATGGGGCCCGGCGTTGTAAAGAACTCGTTGGCAGCCCGCGCTTTATTCTACAGCGTGCGTGCACACGCCCTACAACAGTATTCCCTTTTTTTGCAACCTGGGCTTAGGACGTCTGGGCTGCCAAGGAGCCTGGGCGTGCTAGGTTGGGGCTTGGGTGCTGTGAGGGGGCCACAGGCCACTATGGGGTGCTAGGCTTTTAGGCACTCGGACTGAGGCGAGGCACGATCCTGTTGAGGTGTCGACTCTCACTGTCGCACGAGGCAGGCAAGGCTTCTCAGGTTCGTCACGTCCGCACATCGTGGCTTATGCCTTTTTGGGGGGGTCTCTTGGGGTTTAGGCAGTATAGTCTTACAGGTGCCATGGCTTTCCTGAACCTGCGCCGGTTTCAGGCGCCCTCGGCCGCCAGGGACTTGACTTTGCTCCTCTGTTGCTGGGATGGGGAAAACATTGCCAACACCATGTGGCCAGTTCTCAAAATGGTGGTCCCTTTCTGGGTTCCCTAAATATTAACTGCAGTTCCAGAAAAGGTTTAGGGTTTAGGGTTCAAAGGGACCAGAATTTAGAGAAGTGACCCCTGTCACAAGCGAACCCCCACAAGCCCTTCTTGGGGCAGGAGCCCAAGAAGCGTATTTGTTTTGGGGTTTCGGGTTTAGGCTTGCGTGTTTCGGGTTTCGAGGGGGAGGGGGACTCCCCACAGCCAGTTGTGTGGCAACGCGCTTCCTCCACGCACCCGACTGCCTGCTGACCGTATCCAGATCTGGGGGTTTTATAGTGCAGGGTTTAGGGTTTGGGGTTCGGAGCTTGGGGTCCCGGCCCCCACCCCCTTTAAGAAGCCTCTGGGAGATCTTCTCCCTGCGTGCTACGAATCCAAAACTGAAGCTGTATGATGCTCTAAGACTTACCCTCAAACACCAAACCCTAAGCACCGAACCTACCCAAGGCTCGACCCATTGAACCCCAACCCCTCTTGAATCCCAAACAGTATCAGGCCCTAAGAAATTGCGAAAACCCTAAACTCCCTAAGCCCTGCCCTAAACCGTAAACCGTAAACCCTAAACCCTAAACCTAAACTAACCTCCCTAAACCCTAAACTCCCTAGAACTCCCTAAGCCTTTTTTTGCACCCAGAAGGTCCTCTGGCTCCACTGCTTCAGCTCCTCGCGGGCGGGGTCCATGAATCGCCTGCGGTTTCAGGTTTAGGGGGTTCAGGGTTCAGGGTTTGCGGTTCAGGGTTTAGGGTTTCGGGTTTCGGGTTTAGGGTTTAGGGTTTAGATGTGTTTAGGGTTTAGGGTTTAGGGCCCAAACACTGGTGCTTCTGCTCTTCGGGGCTAAAAAGGGTCCTTAAGGGCAGAGGTCGGCCCGACTGGCGTCCAACATGCCGGAGCCTGAGAACCTCGTCATCGACCTTACTCCGCGCCTCCTTGCCAGGGGCATGTCGATGTAGGAGTTACAGTAAACTCCAGGAATTTTGGAACATGGCTTTAAGGATACTTAGAGCTGGGATTCCCCTTGGTATACCTTTTGGGGGTATGGGGATAAGGATGCTCCAACTTCTGGGAGTTTACTGTACACGTGCTCGGATCTTTCAGGGCGTCTCGGCGGCTAAGGCTTACAATCATTCGATATGGCTTACGGATGTTTTGGAGCTTCCAGCGTGTCATTCGACGTCCTCCACCAAGATCATATGAATCCTTTCTCTACTCATCAAAAACTTCTCAATTGGCCCCCCAATCTGGCGGAGCCGTAAGGCTTCCTACAGCAGCTCGGCCCCATCCCCTTCAAGCCATTCCCCTGTGCGAAGTCCTGGTGTTCAACGACGATCTCGCCCACCACGTCACCCAGGCGCTTCCTTGGCGAGGCGACTTGCCCACCCCCCCCCCCCCCTCCTTTGCCTTGAAAGGGGGCCGGTGATTCAGAGAAGTGACGCTAAAGCGGCGAAGCGGGGGCTGCCGGATCAAAAAAAATAAAAAAGGATCAAAAAAAAAATAACGCAGCCCAGGATCAAAAAATAAATAAAAAAGGATCAAAAAGAAAATAAACTTCGACTTCGAGTACGAAAACTCGAGTTGTCGTACGTTTTCGGAACCCGATCGAGGACCCTCTCACACGAAACGCGTGTCGACGTGCTAAAACTCGAGTTTTGGAAAGGTTTTCCGGGCACGATTGACGACCCGCCCTCTCACACGAAACGCATCTCGAGGCGCGAAAACTCGAGTTTTTGTACGTGTTCGAAGCACGATCGACAACCCTCTCACACAAAACGCATCTCGAGGCGCTTAAACTCGAGTTTTGGTACGTTGTTCCCCACGCGATCGACCAATATATTCTGCATATCTATACTTATTTTATTCATATTTATGTTTCTATTAATATCAATATTATTATGATTCATATTAATTTTAACATAACATATCATGTACAATATGTAATATTATCATGGAATATATAATAAAATATTGAAAAAACAAAACGGCAATATAATATAATATATAAAATGGATATAATATAAGATATCATATAAAATACATTATAAAACATATGAAATAATATAATTTAATTTAATATAATATAAGATAATAGTTTATGATATACTATAAGATAATAGTTTATGATATAATATCATATAATACAAACTGGTTCATTTATAGTACAAAACATAGAATAAATAATACTTAATATTTCATGTCGAATATATATATATATATAGCATTCAACAAATATGTATAATATAATATAATATATATATAATATATTATGATACTTAATATCTAAGACCTAATTCGAAATATAAAATACATAATAATGGGAATTTATAATAAACTACATATAAAATATAAAATATAATGTATGATATAAATACAATAGTAGTAATAGTAGTAGTAGTAGTA